GTCCTTGATCCATTCTCACCACTAGCTACTGGCTGATACACACAGCTTGAAGAAGGCAAAGTTACTGACTGCTAACTAAACATTCCTGAGTCTTATCACGCATCTGCAGGCGTTTGCGTGCAATGTAAGTGGCGCCAGAGCGATGTATAGTGTGTTGCAACTTATCGTGTTCTAAAAGCCTGTTAACACGCGAATGGTCCGCCATGTTTAAAAGCGAAAAACCTTTTAAAGGGTGTGCGGTCCGCAAATTGTTAAGGAACTGAGCCCTTCTTGAGGAGAAGCAAAATCCTGCAGCTACCCAAGAATTTCCCAGCATTTTATGGAACCTGAAGGTTCATTACTGTGTTCACAAGAGCCCTCCACTGGTCCCTATCCTGAGCCAGATCAACCCAATCCATACCATACCATCCTATCTCTCTAAGCTCCATTTTAATATTGTTAACCCACCTATACCTTGGTCTTCCCAGTGGTCTCTTTCCTTCAGGCTTTCACACCAATATCCTATACACATTCCTTTTCTCCCCCATTCATGCTACATGCCCTGTCCACCTCATCCTCCTTGACTTGATCATTCTAATTGTACTTGGAGAAGACTACAAGTTATGAAGCTCCTCATTATGCAGTTTTCTCCAACCTCCTGTCACTTCATCTCTCTTTGGTCCAAATATTCTCCTCAACACCCTGAGTCTACGTTCCTCCCTTAATGTCAGAGACCAAGTTTCACACCCATACAGAACCACAGGCAAAATTATAGTTTTGTATATTCTAATTTTTATGTTTTTGGATATATAAAATGACTTGACAAAAAAAGAACTGCTGTGAGACTGTGAGAAAGGGCATGCCACAGGACCTAGGACATGAGAAAATGAAATTGAAACAGTGTGATATGTGGACATGGCAGACAGGATGGCAGTAGCTACTCACATGGAAATGGACAAAGAAGTTGTTCTTCCATCTGTTAGACATGGCTATTATCAACAGTTACATTTTTTTATTTCATGTGGTGGAAGGAAAATCTCATATAGAGAATTCTGACTTGACCTAGTAAGGAATACACTGACACATCCAGGACTGCAGTCATATGTACAGAGATCATTAGGTTGAAAAGTAAATATCAGTAAAGGCACTAAACTGGATTCCAGCAGCAATAAGTGCTGTCTTGTTCCTTCTTACTGGCTTTGGTTCCATGTATATCCATCTTGCTGGGCTACGAGAAAAGTCAATGTACGAGGGGGGACCCAAAAATAACTGGAATTTATTTTTGTTATTTTCTATTTTTGCATTTTTATTGAACTGTATATTAGTCCCCTTCAAAGTATTGTCCATGTGCATTAATGCACTTGTCCCAACGCTTTTGCCACTGCTCAAAACAGTGNCACACTCTTTGTTCCTTCTGGTCGGCCATCTCACTAATCGCCAAAGGGTTGAAACAGGAACGCACACAACAGAGCACCACAGACAAACAACTTAACTCAGACTGACGCCAGCTCACTAACAGTCGCGGGAGACCCCCAGCTAACACCACCTAGCAGCACAACTCGTAACTACAAAGCATGCGCGCGCAACAGGTCGGTTCCGGTTATTTTTCGGTCCCCCTTCGTACATTGTCAGAAATGTGAGGTGGGTTCATTTGTGGAGAAAAGCTGTTTCTTAGGTTATCACAGCAAGAGTCTGTGTGCAAGACTTCTGTAAATGTACCATCCGTATGCAAACCTGAAGCCTCCAACCGAAGTGTATGTACATGAAAGTCAAAATTATAAGCTTCTATAATTTTAGAATATATTTATGCAGTTAAGATATTAAGATCATTTGTGAAAATGACCTGCAAATCTCTGCTTTATTTTCATGAAAACATTTATTTTGCAATGTTATGGTTATTATTAGTCTTTTCTAGAGCCTGCACTAAAATTCAAATGTGCACAAAATGAACTCTGTAGGGCTGTAACCACCATAGCACATAAATATCCATTGTTTGAAAGTGCAGATGTAATTTTTTATTACAATTCTACCCCATCACAACAAATGCTTGAAGTATTTCCTCCTCTGGTTGTGTCATTTCATTATATTACCCACACTTTTTGCTGCTTTCTTGGTAACCACTCTCTACCCTGTCAAAACTAACACATTTCCCTATGAAGTCATAATACTTCACCCCATTTCAAAGCCTTCTTAAATTACATGAATATTATTATTTTTCTTTCCTTAATGGTATTCTGTAGCTGTTAACTGTTCAACTGCACTTGTTTTTTCATTGCATATTACAAAGCGTTGTTTTCTGTTTTGCAGGAGAAGAAGCTTTGAATGAATACATGAAGATCAAATGTGTTACACTTGAATATTAGAATATATGCATCTTGCTGCAACAGAAAATAAACTGATGCATGGACTGGAACTGTGAAGTGCTATTGTAGTGCGTGTACTATCTATACAAACCAAATGAATGAACTAATTCCACGAAGCAGAATCCTTCAGTGTTTTTTGACCCCTTAGATACTTAAGAAATTGCCTGCCTTTTATGAAACCCAAAATTCCATTTCCATGTATTCAAAATCTGACCACTGATCTCTATCCTAAGCCATATGAACACATTCTAAACATTCCCACACTATACCTTTAAGATTCATTTTAACAGTATCCCCCCATCTGTGCCTAGAGCTTCCAAGGGGTGTGTTCATTTCAGATTTGTGTACAAATTCTCCCATGTATGCAACAAGCCCTGCCCAGTTCATGCTCCATGGTTTAATCAACCGCATACTTTTGGTAAAAAGCTCACATTATGCTCATCATTATGAAATTTTCACAATTTTTCTGTCATGTCCTTAAGCCAATCAACTGGCATGAACTGAGTCTGAAAAACCACTGATAGTATCTATGCTGACATGTGGTATCTGGGAATGGTTGCCAAGCAGAACATGAAGAGAAAAAAACCACAACTACTGGACACCCATGTGTGGCCAAAAGAATGCAAACTCTCCACCAAATGAAGTATTAGATGTACAGTCAACCATCTGAGCCAATTGAAAAGACTACTCAGAGAGAACTGTCGCCTGAAAGGACACCTATTCACACTGGGATAACTAAATGATCTCACCTGTGAAAGGTGCTGTGACAAATATAAAATAGCCTTGTGTATTACATAACTGTTAGTTTCTAGGTCAATTAAAGCACAATAGACCACTGTAGGTCGCAGTGCAAGGGCCGAGAAGGCCTAGCCCTCATACATTCATTCATTCTAGGTCAATTAAGATTCCATTACGGGGCTGCACAATATGTGACTGATAGTTCTGGTGCAAGGGTTTCTTAAGGTGCATCCATTTATTCTAATTCTCTCTCATAAATCCGAATATTCTCCTCAGTTGTCTGTTCCTAAACACCCTCAATCTTTGGTTTACACTTGGAAGGGGATGTTTCTTTTAAGCTGACATAGCTGTTATTACTGAGATTATATGACATTCACAACAGGATGATTAATGTATGTGGAGTGACAGTTGGCAGGGGAAACAGAAGTACTCAGAGAAAACCAACCACAGTGCCACTTTGTCCTTTACAAATTCCACATGAAGAGTACTGGGTTTGTACCTATGCCGCCAGGGTACAATGCAGGAGACTAACCACCTGAACTATGGTATAGTCCAAATATTTTACAGATACAATATGACAAGTAAAATCCTACTTGAATTTATTTTCCTGAATGATGCGAAAGTATACTGCCTTACTTCTTTGGGGTTTCAGCAACCATGACCAAATGCCTTTCATACTTGAGAAGACAGTTCCCTGAAGCATGTCAGAAAAACATTATAATTATCACAAACATTGAAAATATGAAGAACACCTAGAAAAAATATCCTTTACTCCCATACTGATATTTTGTACAATAGATGTTCTTAGTTTTTTTCCAGTTGCCCATCCTTATTTGGGATAATGGTTAGTTTCATTTAAATTGAAGGGAAGGGTATTTTGAAGGACAGCAAGATTTGTGAATAGTTTTATGGGAATGCCAATTCTGACAGCAGGTTTTAAGCAGGAAAGGAAACCACAGTACATCTGGAAAAGTTCTGAGTCAATTCGTTGTGATTTTGAGTTTAGTTTCACATATGAGAATTGCTGTCAGGAAGCACCCCTCCAGAAAGCGATCTTGGTAGTGGGATTAGGATGCTTGTAATTGTTGTTCATCCCTTCTCAAAGATTTCTCAAAAGCAGAGAAAGAGCATAACTTCATTATAAGCAGAATGTTACATAAATTATTTGTTCCCATTCCTAAGCTAAGAATATATTCATCCTGTTGCTATTCCTGAACATTCTGTTACCTTTTCTATGATCTAATACCCAACAGTCTCTTTTGACTTAACCGTGTTGTGTTTATGATGCAGAATTATTACTCTCTTGGCAACTATGTGACAACAAGAAACATAGGACACTCAGCTACATGGATTGGGCTGTTTGCCTCCAGATTTGTGTGTTCGGTGCAGTGTCACCAAGAATTATATGATCATTCTACTGTGCACTCACACAACAAGAGAAATGATATACAATTTCCAATGTTCAGTGTCTTTGAATAGTGCAGGAAAAAAACTTGTTGTAAAGAAAATTCTGATCCTTATTTCTTTATTAGGCTACTGTGACATCTGAATTGGCCACTGCCCACTGTTGGAACAATACTTGACCCTTCCAGAGTAAAATATACTCTGAAGTTTTTGATGTTTTACTATTCTGCCCTCACAGAATCCCTGTTAGTGGTGTCTACCATTATATGGACCTCCAGGTTGATTATGCCTTATGCACTGTGTTGCCAAGAAGTGACTGACCACTTCTCTCTCTTCCTTTAAAACAGAAACGCAATTTCCAACAAATTTTACAGATTTGTTTAGGAAAGGATTGCTTCAAAGGTAAGTCTTGGCTCTGACCCTTATCCCTAGTCATTTTATTTTTGTGCACTTAAAGAAGAAATTATCCAGCTGTAACACAATTGCACCCTTTTGAAGCCAAAATTATTCTGAATATCTTACTCTATACCTGTGCTACCCTAACAGTGTGTGATCACTAGAAGTCTAGATACTAAGAGTAATGATGTTGCATTTACACTTATAAATCCTGTGGTTATCATATACAAGCATTCTCTTTACACTCTGCTCTAATATCTCTCACACTCCATTTTGTATAACTTATAGTATATATCATTATTTCATCATATTCATATACACATCAAAATATACATCATGTCACATGTCCAACTGACACACGGATGTCATGAGAAAATTATTTAATGAAATTGTGTCTACATAAAAACCATGACCGCTCTTAAGAAGATAGTACTCTTCATAGACACTGCCATAAGAACCTCAACTCTAACAATATGAATAATATTTTCCAATATATTGTGATGGCATGGTCCGTTGCGAAGCAACAGCTGGATAAACTTGTTTCTGCAAAAACAGAAAAAATGTTGGAGATTTTTTTCTATTTCTGTGCTCTCCGAGCCCAGGCTCCAAGTGCTCTGGAGAACTGATTTGTACAGTGTGTAGGTTAGTGAAAATGTTATAAGTTCACAGTCAACTACACCAGGCCTTCATTGAATTTAGTGATTTGAACGGAAGTTGCATTGGAGTGGTTTTTATTTAAAGTGGTTTTTATGGACTTCACTTTATATAGTGTGTACATAGCCAGCTTATGTTTAGTGAAGATAGTACTGGTGATGTTTGCCACCCCATCACAGTTGTGCACAGTGCTGTGCAAAAAGTACAAAGCAAGTGGTGAACTCGAGCATACGCCAAGATAGCAGATGTCCCAGTACTGGAATTCAGGAAATACTGGAGACAGAAGTTAGTATCGCTGAAATCTGAATTTCACGCCATGACAAACACCCAGCAGCAGCTGCTATAATACAACAAGAATATTGTAACAGATTAGATCAATGCGTTGCCAGGCAACGGTTCTTCAAGCACAGCCCAAAACACAACAATGGAGGACGCTGTGTTTTCTGTAGATCTGACCGATGCACCAATAGACTGGCTGGATAGCGATATCGTGATATGTTTTTCCTGTGATGCATGTCTGTTCCGTGGTAATAGAAGTAAGAGGCCGGGAGGATTCCGAACAGTTACAAGTAGTGGCACTGGAAGAAAAACGCGAAATAGCAAGCAAGCTGTAAGTCTGAGGAGTACAGAAGAGTAAAAGAAGTCAGCCTGTGAAGATTTAACGTGACTTTAAGACTTCATGTGAGCTGTAGCATAGTGATATAGGGAGTGTGTGATTTAGTGAGACTTTTAGGGTGAGGGCACACCAAGGAAACTGGAAAATTGTAACGCAACCGCAGTTTCCGAGAATTGTTATCAGCCTGAATTGAACACATGTTACTGAATGGAGCAGCCCAAATGGAAGAAACTGCATTGCCATTCCACAATTTGTGCTGCTCCATTCAGTAACGTGTTCAATTCAGGCTGATAACAATTCTCAGAAACTGCGGTTGCGTTACAGTTTTCCAGTTTCCTTGGTGTGCCTTCACCCTTAAGAGTTCCTGCGTTATAAATCCTTGCAGAGTAGAGGAGATAGACTGAGGAGAGTAGCATGGAGTAATTTGTAGTGTGAAAGTAACTAACAGTTTAATAATTACTTGTAGTTACGACCTGTAGGTTGTTAATAAATACAACTACCAATCAACACCCGCATCTTAGTCACTGATACACCTGACAACTGGTGTTAGAAGTGGTATGGACTGGATCACAGTGATCGAGTATTGGAACAAAGATCAATTTTACAGTGTCAACTGACAAAAAATGGAAAACATGGAAATCCTGAAAGCCATGTTGACCGAAATGAACGCCAAAAATGGACACCACCCAAGAGAAGATGGACGCCAATACTAGAGCAAAGCAAAAAAGAGATGGAAGCCAAAATGAAAAAAAAAACAATGGAGAGGCAGATAGTCTCTCTAGTCTCCAAAATGGAGGCCGATAGAAAAACCGACAGAGAATATATGAAACAAAAAATAAAAGCAGATTGGAAAAATCTAAAGGAAATGATGGAAGAAATAATGAGCCCCAATCAAACCAAGACAAAAGAGAAATGAGGGAAGAGATCAAATCTGGCCAAGCGGAAATATAGTCAACAGTTATTGCCATCCGGTCTAAGTTAGAGGACATTAACCACAACATGCAAAATCTCGTTGTTTATCCAAAAGTGTAACTTCACTTGTCAAAAACTATATGCCGACGCAATAGAGGATGTATACTCGCGTGACGTGTTATCGGCATCTGAGCTGGGGTAGCGTAGTCGGTAGTGACTGGCAGCGGGCTGGATGACTGAGGGGTCGGAGTTCGAGTCCCGGTAGGGTAAAAAATTTTCTCTTCCCCAGATCACCCAGATAGGCTCAGGGGTCCACCCAACCCCTATCCAATGGGTACCGTGGGTAAAGTGGCAGGGGCATGAAGCTGGCCACTCACCTCCAGCTATTGCTGAGGTCAAGAAAATGCAGATCTATACATTCATTCCCCCATACGCCTTCATAGCGTATCATTTATATATAGACTGTACAATGTGTGGGAGAGGGCAGAACCTTGTGGCACCTCTGCTTGTATATCCTTTGGTGTAGACATTTCACCTTCGACTGAAACTCTGAATTTTCTCTGGGAAAGAAAAGATCTAATAAGCTTCATTACACTGTTTGAAAATTGTAATTTCGATAATTTATTTAGGATGCCACTAAAAGAGCACTGGAACTGGGAATGAATGAGGGGACAGAGGAGGGTGAAATAATGGAACAAAGAGATCGGTGTAATTTAGGTTACACTGGATGTGACATAGGAAGAAAAAGGTGGGAATTTTTCACATGGGGAAATACAGGAGATAAATGAGCAGGAAATTTAACACAACAGTTAAATGTCTAATGTCATCAACATGGACATGAATTAAGAAAGACTGAAGTAAGATGAATATACTGGATAAAAATTACATTTAATGTATAAACGGTATACAAATTTGTATTTAAAGGTAAAGTTACATTTAGAAAATTTCTCAAATGAAAAACTTGGCCAACATGTGTAAGAAACCTTCACTGATCATATCTTTATCAGAATACACTGACACAAGAATAATTATGTTCTGACATTCAAACAGTCAGATGACATTTTCTTTCAGAAAGAAACTATGTGTATTAATGAAGAGTTTTACCTCCTGAGATATTCTGCTGTGTGGTTCACTGAAAATCAACACTGCCTCCAAGTTCTGGGTTGAAGAGTAGGCCAAGCAAGAAATCAGCGTGAAGCCTGTAGCAAGGAAAGCATGTGGCTTTTAAAAACGTGGGATTATATACTTGTAGAAGCACCGTGGAAGCCAAACCATCAGCTCCAACTGGCTCTATCAAAGGACCAAGGTGAACCAGAAAGAGACTGAAGACTAGTTGACTGTTTTTTGCCTTTCAAGGACCAATACAGATATGGGAACACAGAGGGAGAGAAGTCATTGGTGTTGCAGGCATGTGCCCGGGAATCAGAAGAGCGAGACTGCAGATGAAGGCAGGAAGGAAAGCCTTAGGACTGATGGGTGCCCAGAGACAGCAGGGTTCTTGCCCCGATAAGGGCAGTGTACAAGGACTTTCATGGCCCAGTGGAGAAACCAACTGGAGAACTAGAGAATCCTGTGAGGGACGAGATGAGNCCCCCCCCCCCATTCATATTATTGGGATGAAGCTCAGTATCAGTCAACTTCCTGAAGATACAATCCATATATATGGGTTTGTTGGTGAGGATGCTGCCATTATGGAGGTAAATGTGGTGCCCAAGACTGATAGTGTACACACCACTATGGCTCATTTGTCTGGATGATCTAGTCAGATATGCCAAAGGCACTCCCTCAGTCTGGTTTATATGAACAGCCTTTCTGACTAGCATAGACCTCATTGCATTCACAGGATATACCGTGTACTCCTGGTGTCCTGTCTTAGGCAATCCTTGACTGCTCAAAGGAAACTACATATTTTCCTTGGCAGGAAGCCAACCAACTTGATGTTGTGCAAGGACAGTACCCTGCTAATGCAGCTGAAGACCGACAGTAAAGCGACTGAATCTGGTTAGTAATGGTAGTCCACTGCAAGTGTCCTTCAGAAACACTGCCACGATTACACAGAATTCTGGCCCTGAGCACCAATGTGGATGAGTGTTGATGAGAGCTTGAGGTGAGACGAATGTTAGCAAGGGTAGATTTACAGAGTACCTCATGACCCAGAGAACCATCATGTCTCCTATAAACATGTATATCCAGGAAGGGAAGGAGACAATCCCTTTCAATCTTGATGGTCACAGAAAGAGAGTCACATTCCCTTCCTAGACACAGTAATTCAGCCGTAACAGAGCACAGTATCAACTTAGGGCACCACCTTCAGCTCCATAACATATCCTCACCATCAAACCCAGATATATGGACTGTATCATCAAGGAGGTGGCTGAGATCAAGATCCATCCAAAAAACATCAACAAGGAAGATGGCTTCTGCCTCATCACAACATGGAAACCTCTCATCTCCACCCGGAAATAAGCCTCCCTCACAGGATTCTCTAGGTCAATGGTCTTCAACCTGGGGTATGTGAAGACATCTTATAGGGTGTGTTAAATTAAAAAAAGAAAAAAGTATTATTTTGTGATAAGCACTGAATATTCAGGGCAAGATTTTGGGTTAGCCACATGAGACCCAGAGTAACAAAA